TTCCAGTGAAGCAGGAAGTCAATGGGTGGGGTAAAAGAGTGGGCCACTGATGCAAATCATGTGACCAGAAGTGCCAAAATGGGCAAACATGCCAAAAAAGGGGGTATGTGTCTCCAAAGAATTGGAATGCCAGCCTGGCATTAGTGTCCCTATGTATCACAGTGTCAGAGTCCCCATGTCGCCCAGTCCCCTAGTCTTCCAGTGTCTGTGTCTCCATTTCTCCCAGTGTCCCCATGTTTCCGTGTGTCCCATATTACTAGGATACTAGGGGACACTGAGAGACATGGGGACACTGGGAGACATGGGGGCACTGAGACACTTGGGGACATTGGGAGACATGGGGGCACTTGTGGATACAGACATGGGGACACTGGGAGACATGGAGACACTGGGAGACATGGGAACACTGAGACATTTGGGGACACTTGGAGAAATGGGGTCACAGACACTAGGGGTATTGAGAGATATGGGAACACAGACACTAGGAGACTAGGGGACACTGGGAGACATGGGGACACTGAGACACTGTGGACACTGGCTGTGAGGCATGGGGACACAGACACTGGGGACACTGGGAGACATGGGGGCACTTGTGGACAGACATGGGGAAACTGAGACACTAGGGACACTGGCTGGGAGACATAGGGACACTGGGGGACATGGAGACACTGAGACACTAGGGACACTGGCTGGGAGACATAGGGACACTGGGAGACATGGGGACACTGAGATACTATGGACACTGGCTGGGAGACATGGAGACACTGTGTCCCTAGTGTCTCTGTGTCCCAATGTGTCTACCTATGTCTCACAGCGTTCCCATGTGTCTCAGTGTCCCCATGTCTCACAGTGTCCCCTAGTGTCTCAGTATCTCCATGTGTCCCCGAGTGACTCAGTGTCCCCATGTCTCCCTGCTGCCTTTCCCCTCATCCCTCACTTCCCTGAGCTGTAGTCTGTCTCTGCTGGCTGGGAGCTGCTGTCTGAACTCTCTGTGCTGTGCAGCTGCTCCCCTGCGTATCAGTGAGTAGAGAGAGGCAGGGAGGCATATGCTATAACTTCCTATCCCTGCCTCTCTCCATACATAGTGACCCCTACTGGCCGGTGCTGGTATTGCAGAGTAATCTCTTTTTTACTGAAAAAAATATTTGCATTTGTATTGCCGGTATTACTGCAATACCATCATGGCCAGGCAGCCTCAAATACCGGCTGTGCCTGAAAATACCAGTCAGGTGGCAAACCTAAGAGTAGTGTGTAAAAAATTAAATGAAAATAAAAAAGTAATTTTTTATTTTTTTTTAAATGGGCTTATTCCATGGGCCTGGGCCTGGGCCTGGAGCTGCAGCTCCATCAGCCCCTATGTTAATCTGGCCCTGCTGATATGGCTCATTTGGGAGAGCATTTGGTCAATGTAAACAGATTGTATATGACTCATATTATTTTGTTTCAACTAGCTAATTTTCATCGAAAAGCATGTTTTGCTACATACAGGCTACAGGAGATGCTAGTTTTGACAATCTTTCCCAGTTACAAATGCAGGAGCAAGAGCTCAACTGCAGGACACAGCCTTAGGATAGCCATTATCTTGTCCAAATGAGATGATATATATACAACATTACAGATGTAATATGCCTTTGAGCTAAAAATAAATTTAAAAAAGCACAAAAAATAAAGATACTCTCAGTGAAGCCTTAAACATAGATTTATAGATTTTAACATTTATAATACTTTTTGTGAATCAAGTAGAGCATTTAATTTGCTAACTGTGAACTCTTTTTAAATATACATGTACTGTGTTACATTAATATTTTCATCTTATAATTACAGGATTATGGGCATAACTCATATAAAGAAGCTTGCACTGCATGTGCATTTTAAAGAAACATTCCACATCTGTATTAGCCGTTTGCTACATTTACAGTGTGATATTTGCTGAACACTGCTTAAGCATTTTAATAGCTTATGCGGACACTATGCCAGATTTAATGAACACTGAATCATGCACCTGATTTATTGCCTGTCTCGTATCAGGGCATAGAAGTAATCAGATATCAATTTAAAGCTACTCTAAGGTCAATAAAGCTTGAAAGTCTGTATTTTTGTCAACTGAAAAATGGACAGAATGTGGTGTTTTGGTGGTAATGTGTGAAATCATTTGAAGTATACTGATATCGACCAAGGGATATACCTTCTTGAAATTTGTGATTATACGAATATTTTTTGAGTTTCCGTATTATTAGCATACATGAATGGATAACAAAAGATAGACCGATATACCACGTTACAACATTGTAAATATAATCTTTGCTTTGGTAGGACAATTGTGTAGTTAGGCATAGCACAATCTAGAGCAGGGCTAAGCTACTTTGGGCACTGCAGATGTTATAGACTATATTTCCCCTGATGCTTTGCCACTATTATTTCTGTAAGAGCATCAATGGAGATGTGGTTCTCAACATCTGGGATGCCAAACGTTGTCTACCCCTGATCTTGAGCAACTCTTATAGAAGCTACCCTTTATATTATATTATTCTGACTTTCAAAGTAAGAACTTCAGTCTGCAGGTTGAAACATGTTTTTGATTCCAGTCACTGATTATCTTTTGCTCTTCTGAAGAATAAATACTGTATTCCTGACTTGGCACATTTCTAATTTCTTCAACATATCTAAACTTTCTTGGATACTTCCAATGGAAACAGAAGGATAACTAATAATATTTGGTAGGACAAATCTATATTAAACAGACTGCTATGCAGTCCTAAAAAGATTATCCCAT